CAAGTGCTCATGGAACATTCTCCAGGATAGATCATATCTTGGGTCACAAATCAAGCCTTGGTAAATTTTAAAAAATTGAAATAATATCAAGTTTCTTTTCCAACCACAATGCTATGAGACTAGATATTAACTACAGGAAAAAATCTGTAAAAAATACAAATACATGGAGGCTAAACAGTACACTACTTAATAACCAAGAGATCACTGAAGAAATTAAAGAGGAAATTTAAAAATGCCTAGAAACAAATGACAATGAAAACATGATGATCCAAAAGCCATGAGATGCAGCAAAAACAGTTCTAAGAGGGAAGTTTATAGCAATACAATCCTACCTTAAGAAACAAGAAACATCTCAAATAAACAACCGAACTTTACACCTAAAGCAATTAGAGAAAGAAGACCAAAAGAACCCCTAAGTTAGCAGAAGGAAAGAAATCATAAGGATAAGAACAGAAATAAATTAAAAAGAAATGAAGGAAACAATAGCAAAGATCAATAAAACTAAAAGTTGGTTCTTTGAGAAGATAAACAAAATTGATAAACCATTAGCCAGACTCATCAAGAAAAAAAAGGGAGAAGACTGAAATCAATAGAATTAGAAGTGAAAAAGGAGAAGTAACAACTGACACTGCAGAAATACAAAGGATCATGAGAGGTTACTACAAGGAACTATATGCCAATAAAATGGACAACCTGGAAGAAATGGACACATTCTTAGAAAAGCACAACTTTCCAAGACTGAACCAGGAAGAAATAGAAAATATAAACAGACCAATCACAAGCACTGAAACTGAGACTGTGATTAAAAATCTTCCAACAAATGAAAGCCCAGGACCAGATGGCTTCACAGGCAATTTCTATCAAACATTTAGAGAAGAGCTAACACCTATCCTTCTCAAACTCTTCAAAAACATAGCAGAGGGAGGAACACTTCCAAACTCATTCTACGAGGCCACCATCACCCTGATATCAAAACCAGATAAAGATGTCACAAAGAAAGAAAACTACAGACCAGTATCACTGATGAACATAGATGCAAAAATCCTCAACAAAATACTAACAAATTGAATCCAACAGCACATTAAAAGGATCATACACCATGATCAAGTGGGGTTTATAACAGGAATGCAAGGATTCTTCAATATATGCAAATCAATCAATGTTATACACCATATTAACGAATTGAAGGAGAAAAACCATACGATCATCTCAATAGATGCAGAAAAAGCTTTCAACAAAATACAACACCCATTTATGATAAAAACCCTCCAGAAAGCAGGCATAGAGGGAACTTTCCTCAACATAATAAAGGCCATATATGACATACCCACAGCCAACATCGTTCTCAATGGTGAAAAACTAAAACAATTTCCACTAAGATCAGGAACAAGACAAGGTTGCCCATTCTCACCACTATTATTCAACATAGTTTGGGAAGTTTTAACCACAGCAATCAGGGAAGAAAAAGAAATAAAAGGAATCCAAATTGGAAAAGAAGAAGTAAAGCTGTCACTGTTTGCAGATGACATGATACTGTACATAGAGAATCCTAAAGATGCTACCAGAAAACTACTAGAGCTAATCCATGATTTTGGTAAAATTGCAGAATACAAAATTAATGCACAGAAATCCCTTGCATTCCTATACACTAATGATGAAAAATTTGAAAGAGAAGTTAAGGAAATACTCCCATTTACCATTGAAACAAAAAGAATAAAATACCTAGGAATAAACCTACCTAAGGCGACAAAAGACCTGATGCAGAAAAATATGACAATGATGAAAGAAATTAAAGATGATACAAACAGATGGAGAGATATAACATGTTCTTGGATTGGAAGAATGAACATTGTGAAAATGAGTATACTACCTGAGCTATCTACAGATTCAATGCAATCCCTATCAAACTACCACTGGCATTTTTCACAGAGGTAGAACAAAGAATTTCACAATTTGCATGGAAACACAAAAGACCCCGAATAGCCAAAACAATCTTGAGAACGAAAAACGGAGCTGGAGGAATCAGGCTCCCTGACTTCAAACTATACTACAAAGCTACAGTAATCAAGACAGTATGGTACTGGCACAAAAACAGAAATATAGATCAATGGAAGAGGATAGAAAGCCCAGAGATAAACCCACGCACATATGGTCACCTAACTTTTGATAAAGGAGGCAAGAATATACAATGGAGAAAATCAGCTTCTTCAGTAAGTGGTGCTGGGAAAACTGGACACCTATATGTAAAAGAATGAAATTAGAACACTCTCGAACATCATACACAAAATAAACTCAAAATGGATTAAAGACCTAAATGTAAGGCCAGACACTAGCAAACTCTTAGAGGAAAACATAGGCAGAAGACTCTATGACATAAATCACAGCAAGATCCTTTGTGCCCCACCTCCTAGAGAAATGGAAATAAAAAAAAACAAAGGGGACCTAATCAAACTTAAAAGCTTTTGCACAGAAAAGGAAACCATAAACAAGACGAAAAGACAACCCTCCAAATGGGAGAAAATATTTGCAAATGAAGCAACTGACAAAGGATTAATCTCCAAAATTTGCAAGCAGCTCATGCAGCTCAATAACAAAAAAACAAGCAACGCAATCCAAACATGAGCAGAAGACCTAAATAGACATTTATCCAAAGAAGATATACAGATTGCCAACAAACACATGAAAGAATGCTCAACATCACTAATCATTAGAGAAATGCAAATCAAAACTACAATGAGATATACCTCACACTAGTCGGAATGACCATCATCAAAAAATCTACAAACAATAAATGCTGGAGAGGGTGTGGAGAAGAGGGAACCCTCTTGCATTGTTGGTAGGAATGTACATTGATACAGCCACTAAGGAGAACAGTATGGAGGTTCCTTCAAAAACTAAAAAAGGGGCTTCCCTGGTGGTGCAGTGGTTGAGAGTCCGCCTGCCGATGCAGGGGACACGGGTTTGTGCCCCGGTCTGGGAAGATCCCACATGCCGCGGAGCGGCTGGGCCCACGAGCCATGGCCGCTGAGCCTGTGCATCCGGAGCCTGTGCTCCGCAACGGGAGAGGCCACAACAGTGAGAGGCCCGCGTACTGCAAAGAAAAAAAACAAAAAACCAAACAAACAAACAAAAAACTACAAATAGAACTACCATACAACCCAGCAATTCCACTACTGGGCATATACCCTGAGAAAACCATAATTCAAAAAGTGTCATGTACCACAGTGTTCATTGCAGCTCTATTTATAATAACCAGGACACAGAAGCAACCTAAGTGTCCATTGACAGATGAATGGTTAAAGAAGGTGTGGCACATATATACAATGGAATATTACTCAGCCATAAAAAGAAACGAAATTGAGTCATTTGTAGTGAGGTGGATGGACCTAGAGTCTATCATACAGAGTGAAGTAAGTCAGAAAGAGAAAAACAAATACTGTATGCTAACACATATATATATGCAATCTAGAAAAAAAGGTTCTGAAGAACCTAGGGGCAGGACAGGAATAAAGACGCAGATGTAGAGAATGGACTTGAGGACATGGAAGGGGGAAGGGTAAGCTGGGACGAAGTGAGAGAGTGGCATGGATTTATATATACTACCAAAACTAATATAGATAGTGGGAAGAAGCCGCATAGCACAGGGAGAACAGCTTGCTGCTTTGTGACCACCTAGAAGGGTGGGACAGGGAGGGTGGGAGGGAGACGCAAGAGGGAGGAGATATGGGGATATATGTATATGTATAGCTGATTCACTTTGTTATAAAGCAGAAACTAATACACTCTTGTAAATAATTATACTCCAATAAAGATATTAAAGAAAGCAAAAAAAAGAAAAGAACTACCTTATGACCCAGGAATTCCACTACTGGGCATGTACCCTGAGGACATATTATTTTAATATTTGATGTAAAATCAAATATGTGGAAAGTCTGCAATAAGTCCTGATGCACATTAAACATGATGGTTTTCTTTAGGGAAAGCACTTACATGATGGTTTGAGTTGCAAACTAAATTAACCACTTTTTTCATGAAGCATCATGTTGACTTGAAAGAGCAACTGACAAACTACAGATGTTCAGACTTGGCTAACTGGCAAATATTTTCTTGCAAATGAACAAAGTGAGTTTGTCACTTCAACAAAGACAACGAAAAGTGTTTGTTGGCAAAGATAAAATTAGAACTTTCAAGAGAAAATTAGGATTTTGGAAAATTTCTGTCTGCCTCTGTGAGCATGCCCACTTCTCAATACTTAAAGATATTTCTGATGAGACCAGGAGTAAGTTTAACAAATGTGATTTTTTGATATTGTATAATGAGTCATGTCAACATTTTGAATATATGTGTCACTTAGTGAATCAATGTTTTCTAATGAGACAGTATATGGTGTTACAAAATCATGCACAAGTAAAATATCTATTCGAAATACGAGATAGACCAATAGATTTTAATGGAACAGAGTATGGAAAGTTCATTCATATGGTTTATTTATGCACAAATTTTAAGAAACTACCACTTGTTAAGCTTTGGTGTAGTACTGAAGGAGAATACTATCCACAGTTACTGAAAAGGCTGTTAATATGCCCCTCCATTTTCTAGCTACACGTCAGTGTGAGACTAGATTTACTTCAAGTAGTTCAAATAAAACAGCTGATCACAACAGACTGAATGCAGAAACAGATATAAGAATCCAGGTGTCTTCTATTTAAGCAGATATTAAAGGGGTTTAAAGAATGTAAGTGCAACTTTTTAATTACATTTTTTGTTTTATAAAATATTGTTATTTTAATAAAATCTGCTATGTTACTTTATAATATGAATCTATTATCCTTAAATGAATTAATAAATACTTCTGCTTTAATTTCTAGTACAGTAAATATCAATAAGATATAACCCACATAAACAAAAGCTCTTTGGGGTCTTCAGTGACTTTTAAGAGTGTAAAATATCTTGAGATCAAAGGATTGAGAAACACCCAACCACCCCCCCGTAGACCATACCATGATTCAGTGTCCCATCCCTTGTTCTTCTAAGCACTCTTTTCCTCTGAAAGAGCTGTAATCAGTTCTAATAAACAGACTGGGTTATGCTGTAATAAAACCATATATATATACATATGTAACTCACATATAAAAAAGGTAAACTGTAGTCACATAGTCTCACATTATTTGATATAGGGTTTTTTTTAATGAAACAGAGTACAGAAACTTTCTTGATATAGTTCTAATGAAACTATATTACATATTACAAATAACCTTGAAGAACTATTACTTATAAATTTTGGTGGAATATCAAAGAAGAATACCCACTATTACCTGAAAACTCTACCCTTTTCCAAGTTCATGTCCCTGTAAGAATAGATTTTCTTCATATACTCAAAACAACATATCACAATAGATTGAATGCAGTATTTGGCATAGGATTACGCTCTATTACAGGTACTTCTAGATTTACTCTTACCAACATCAAATTCAAGGCCAGGAAATTTGCATTAATTCCTGTTTAGGTGCTGAATTAATATTATAATTTTCTCTACGTTTAGGTTAACTCCTTGAATTCAAGGCTGAACTGCTTATTATAGTCACTTGAGGTCCTGGTCCAACTGTTCCCTGGGTTCTGCCAACAGAAATTTCCCACATATTTTTTGCTCCTAGCAAACTGCTCTTCCTCCTGTTCTAAGCACTCAGTTTTGAAAAATTTCTTTTCAGATCTTTCTCTTTTTCTCATTGTGTGTTTCTGAATGTTTCTGACTGTGAACTGCAAGTTTCTTTCCCATACCCTTTCCTAACCTCATCTTTTACATTTATTGCGACCTTCCCCTTTCCATCATTCCTTCTAGTCCACCCTTAGGGAATTATCTCGTTAAGGCTTCTACCTTTGTTCTTGCTTCTTCTCTTCAAAAAGAGTAATAATCTATCTTGGCAGATTAGTTAGAATTCAGCTTTCTTGCTATGTCAAAGCAGTACAAAATGGGGATGTGTGGTCAGATGTTGGCCATCACGCCACTTTCCTAAGGAGTCTCACAAGCTGATATACCTTGATAGAGCTCTCCAAGTCTAGAGACCTTCTGCAAGGTCAGAAACCTAATTTGCCACAGCAATGAATTAAATAGTGATAAAGGGATCAATACAAAAAGAGGCACAGACCCAACATAAGTGAGCTTACAAGGCTGAAATACAAAACAAAAGTCAAGTTATTAATTTAGAAAGAGTAATACGAGTCTTACCTTAGCTGGAATACCCAAGTCAACATAAGCATTCATTCAAGGAACATTTACTGAGTTCCACTAGGAAGGCTACCATACACAGAAAACCGAATCAAAAGTTTGCTTGGTGAGCATGGAACTCAGAACAAAGAAGATAAATAGAAGCATTAGAGCTGGAAGAGTATGAAACATCCAACTCACTAAAAGGGTGCTTTTAACAATGAGACTATGATGATAGAATTCTGTTTGCTGTATCTCTACAGCATTATCTCTAAAATACAGATAATTTTGGCAGAAGGACATGGTCTGTTGGCTAATATTTTCTCAACATTGGATCATGCTTGGAAAAACTTTATTAATACTTCCGTGGTTTTTATTTTTCTGTTCTGTTGTGACAAATCAACCTTTTCCCTAGTTGGCACATCCTTTGTTTGGACATTCACCCAAGTAAGAGTTTCAAATCTGAAGGCTACTCTGCCCTTTAAAGAGAGTTTTCAAATGTCAGCTCTTATTCATAATACATAGATTATAAAGCCCAACTTTAGAGCTGTTTAGCTGATATGTAAATTTTAAACTTATTTTTCTTATTCTCAAGTTTTTCTTTTTTTTTTCAGAAAGTCTCAGTAAATCTTCCAAAGCCTGACAATGCTGTCATTTAAATCTATTTATTGAATGGATAAAAAAGAAAACAAAAAATGAGACAGCATACCTAAAAGAATTCAATATAGCCTGTTTATTAATTTTATCCTGTTTTATTTTTATGGTAGTTTTCCTCTAGGGAAACAACTTTTTAATTTAATTTTATTTTATTAAAGTATAGTTGATTTACAATGTATTGATTTCTACTGTACAGCAAAGTGATTCAGTTATACATATATGTATATATTCTTTTTCATATTCTTTTCCATTATGGTTTATTACAGGATATTTAATATAGTTCCCTGTGCTATACAGTAGGACTTTATTGTTTATCCATTCTATATATAATAGTTTGCACCTACTAATCCCAAACTCTCAATCTATCCCTCGCCCACCCCTCCTCCCCCTTGGCAACCACAAGTGTGTTTTCTTTTTTTTTTTTTTTTTTTTTTTTTTTTTTCACAAGTGTGTTTTCTATGTGTGTGAGTCTGTTTCTGTTTTGAAGATAAGTTCATTTGTGTCATATTTTAGATTCCACATATAAGTGATACTGTATGGTATTTGTCTTTCTCTTTCTGACTTACTTCACTTAGTATGATAACCTCTATGTCCATCCATGTTGCTGCAAATGACATTATTTTATTCTTTTTTATGGCTGAGTAGTGTTCCATTGTATATATGTACCACATCTTCTTTATCTATTCATCTGTCGATGGATTTAGGTTGGGAAAACTTAACATTTTTTATAAGTAGATGCACTGTTTTCTTAGCCAGCTGAGATGAGAAACAAAAGGATAAAATCAGGGATACAGATGGGGGGCATTGACTGTGGTAAATATGAATCAGACTAATCACAATTCTGTGGCTAAGTAAAGATTGTGCATGTATAAAGACTTTTAAAGACAATTTTCAGGGTTGTTATATAATAATCTTTGGGACCCAGGAAACTCCTGCAGCCCTGATCCCAAGGGGTCTCCCAAATATCATTTACCTCACCGTGTCTTTTTCTCTTGGTACAGGGACTCTGCTATGTGGGCTTTCCAGCCACCACTCGACCCAGACGTCCTGAGATCAAGCAGGGAAACAACAATTCCTAAACCCACATCTATTTGCTGTTTTTATTTGCCATGTAGTCAATATACTTTCTGTGTTTTTCCCTTTAGAAACGGGAGCTTGGACAAACACAAGCTTGAAGCGCTCCTTCCTTAAACAATGGAAGTTTTTGTGGTGCTTTGTAGCTACCCAGAAGCACACTTTTGGCCTAGTTTACTTATTTATCACAAGAGTTTGAAATTTGAGCCCCAATTATTCTTTTACATAAAGGATTCTATTTAGAAAAAGCAAAGCCAAATCTGGCTTTCCAACCAGTATTAAGTAAGAGAGGAAGCGAAGAGCTCTAATTACTTCTTTATTATGAGGATACACTTCATTCCTACCCAAGCAAAAAATCCCTGTCATATTTAATGAAGATGTATCCTTTTTAAAAATTAGTAAGAGTGACAAGGTTATGAAGACATATTCTATTTTAATATTTTTAAAAAAATAAATATTTCAGATATATCTCTGAACTGCTAATGTTCAACAACAGTTAATTCTTGAATTAGTCCCTATAACTGATTATTGTTTATTGTAGATTTGTCAATTTATCATCAGGTCAGATAGTATGTTGCAAATGACTTGGTAGAACTTAATCACATGCCATTGTTCTGTAATAATTTCATATAGCTAGGCTTACACATGAAGGCTCTGCAACAAAGTCATAAATCAAGGCCAAAAATGGTCTATTCTCCTCCTTCACCTTCCTTTAATCTCCTTTAGTCTTGGCAGAGAATCAGAGAAACACTATGTGCCTAATTATGAATTTAATTATTTACTACTACACATGGATATACATACGCACACATACATATATACATACACATGCACACACATACACACCTATACACACATATGTATATATATACATCCACATGCATATACACACGCACACACCTACACACACATGCATACACACACACACACACACGTGAATGCATCTTTTCACTTTTATGAGGCACACCTCCTGGATTCCTCCCTCCTTTCCAGCTGCTTTTTTCTCATGCGCCCTTCTCTCTACTTCACTCTCTCTCTGGGTGAATTTTTTCTAGCACCATCACTTTAAACAAAATTTAATTATACTGATGATACCCAACCTTGCCCCTGAGATTCCAATTCCATGCATCCAACTGCCTGTAGGACAGCTCCACAGCATTTCTGATGGACACTCACAATAATGCATCCAGACGAGACCCTGTGTTCTTCCCTGCAACCTCTCGCTCTCCCAGGAGGCTCATCCCAGTAAATGGCACTCACACATCTGGAGTGGTGGTGCCACTTTCTCACTCCAGACTCATCTCCAGACTCACAGTCATCTCACATTACTCTCTTTCTCTCAAACCATGTCAATCTGTCAGCAAGTCCTATGGACTCTGCTCTTAAATGATAGCTCCTAACTTGTTTCCCAGCTCTATTCTCACCTCCTACTGTCTTCTCCACAAAGCAGCCAGAGTGAATCTTTAAAAAAAAGTACATCAAAGTGCTTCTTTCCATTGAGCTCCACACTTCAGTGACTTCCTCTTACTCAGAATAAAATCCAAAGTCCTTATGGGGGCTAGTGGGGCTCTGTGGGACCTGTGTGCTGGCTGCCTCTCTGTCCTCGCTCTCTACTACCTTCCCCACTGCACTTCACTGCCCGCACATGCCTGTGGTTCCTCCAACAGGCTTTTTCAAGCTTTTACATCTGATATTCTCTTCACCTGGAAAGCCCTTCCCTGGATCTTTGCATGGATCACTCCTTCATTCGTTCAAAGGTCACCCTGTCAAAGGGCCTGACCATGCTCTCTGAAGTAGCACCATTACTCTCTCTTTACTCTGCTTGACTATTTCTTCATAGGACTTAATATAACATAATATTGTTTATTTCTCCTACAAGAATGTTAACCTTCTTAAGAACAGGGGTTTTATTTTGTTAACCAGTGTTTTGAGAGTTGAAATATTCCTTGGCACATGATAGAAATCAATAAATATTTATTTAATGAACAAATGAATATTTTTTCATGCATATTTAAAATAAACATAGTTGGTCAAATGGTACAAATTTGCAACTAGAAGATGAATAAATTCTGAAGATGTAATGCACAGCATAGTGATTATAGCCAACGATACTGTGTTATATATTTCAAAGTTGCTGACAGACTAGACCTTAAATGCTCTCACCATAAGAAAAGAAATGATAATTATGTGGCATGAGAGAGGAGTTAGCTAATGCAATATACAAAGGTATCAAATCAACCCATTGTACACCTTAAAAGTACACGATGTGGTATGTCAGTTATATTTCAATGAAAAACAAGTAAAATAACACAGAGATTCAGAAGATAATCTTTAATTTTCTGCAGTAGTTTTGTGCTTCTGTAGAAGATTGAGTGTAGACTTATAATTATTTGTCAGCTTTGGTAACATATAGAGTGTGCAGTGTTCCTTAAAAAAACTTTTACATGGGCTTCCCCGGTGGCACAGTGGTTGGGAGTCCACCTGCCGATGCAGGGGACACGGGTTCGTGCCCTGGTCCGGGAAGATCCCACATGCCGCGGAGCGGCTGGGCCCATGAGCCATGGCCGCTGAGCCTGCGCGTCCAGAGCCTGTGCTCCGCAACGGGAGAGGACACAATGGTGAGAGGTCCGCATACCGCGGGGGCGGGGGCGGGGGCGGGGGCGGGGGGGGGGGGGGAAGGGTGAAAAATGAAGGTATAAGACAGCAGTGATTGTTAACCTCCAGATGGTGCTGTTGGAGAAGAAAAGCTAATCTGCTCTCCTGGGAGTGGACAGACCGCAGGGAGACTGCACACCATGGGGCTTTAACATAGAACCCCATGCTTTATTTCCATTGGCTGGTGTTGGATTCCAGTCCCTGCCAAAGGCTTCCTCTCCTTTACTCTTTAGTACGAGACAGAGAATGTCTAATTTGTGCTCATGAATAAGTCAAGTCAGCTCATACTTGGTGTCCTGTAATTCCTTCTCTTTTGTTCTTAACTCCTTTTCTCCCTTCTCCCCCAGGTGCATCTCCAGGCTACCATTCCCTCTGGGCACATCTCTGCCACCTGCTCTGGGTATCTTTTAATCCTTTGGGCACTGTGCAGATCCCACTGCACAGTGTCTCTGCCCCTGCCAAGGGAGAGAAAGCTGAGGAAGTACTCGTTAACAGTAAACATTTGATGTACCTACTCTCTGTGGTCTACTTTTACTAGCAAGTAATCAGGGGAAGCGGCCTCAGGTGGAAGCAAGTTTGCATGAAATTTTCCTGGAGTCAAGGCTGCTTTAATGCTTCACTTGTCTGGTATTCTTTCTTCAATCCTTATTCTCTGTTAGGTCAAAAACTAATAAGAACCTGCTGTATAAAATAATAA